GTCCAGCTCCAGCTACTCTTTTACAACGCGCGTACAGCTCCAGCTGCTCTTTTACAACGCTCGTACAGCTCCAGCTGCTCTTTTACAACGCTCGTACAGCTCCAGCTACTCTTTTACAACGCGCGTACAACTCCAGCTGCTCTTTTACAACGCGCGTACAGCTCCAGCTACTCTTTTACAACGCGCGTACAGCTCCAGCTGCTCTTTTACAACGCGCGTACAGCTCCAGCTACTCTTTTACAACGCGCGTACAGCTCCAGCTGCTCTTTTACAACGCGAGTACAGCTCCACGCAGCTACTCTTTTACAACGCTCGTACAGCTCCAGCTACTCTTTTACAACGCTCGTACAGCTCCAGCTACTCTTTTACCACGCGCGTACAGCTCCAACTACTTTTACAACGCATGTACAGCAACGCCGTGATGATGAATAATCAATACGAGATGAAATCTAACTGGAAAATTTCACGAAAAAAAAATTATTAAAGCGTTACATGGAAATTTTTATACCTTTACATAGCACTTTATATGCAATCGTTGAAGTGACATATACACGATGTGCTTCTGAGATTATTCACGAGCCGTGATACTTAACTTTTTTGAGGATATTTTTTTCTGATTGACTACAAATAATTTTTTTGCAATTAGCTCACTCTTGTTTTCAGGCGCAGCATCATGGGAAAAATTGCGTCCGCATTTTTTCCCCGCGTCCGATCGATGACCATTAAATTTAGCAAACGAATTTTTTTTTTAATAATTCTTTGCCTATAAATGAGAATTAAGCTGACATTGCTCCAAAACACTCCTCAATAGTTCTTGTTTAGTTAGAATTATTCAGAACTTTGAGAAAAATAAGGTCATGTATAAAAAAATTTGCTACTTTTCAAATTTTAACGGCAAAGTTTTCATCGTCTTGAATGGGTGTTGCTTTGATAAACATGTGGCTGCCTTGGAAAAGCTTGTCCTCAGTAAATATTATTTTATCTAATTTTTTGAAGAATCATTCGCCTGAGCAGAAATGTGTTTTACGCTGGTCTCTATACCAATCAACAACTGAGCACAACAATCAACATCTGAGCGCAACAATCAACATCTGAGCTCAACAATCAACATCTGAGCTCAACAATCAACATCTGAGTACAACAATCAACATCTGAGCACAAAAATCAACTTCAGAGCATAACAATCACCATCTGAGCATAACAATCAACATCTGAGCACAACAATCAACAACTGAGCACAACAATCAACGTCTGAGCACAACAATCAACATCCGAGCACAACAATCAACATCTGAGCACACGCCTCACTATCATCGCGATGAGAACAATCATTGATCCTTACTGCACATACACTCACTATTCATCACTAACTCGTGCACACCAACACGCAATCGTTAGAACAAACATGGCACATGTGACGCTCAGCACCAGCGCGATGCCGGCTAATAAGGCAACCCTCCCTACACCGCAGCCAACTGCGCCCTGTGGGACGAGTGTATGAAGGGTACCATTCACTGCATGAATGCTCCCCTTCACAGCATGAAGGCTCCCCTTCACTGCATGAAGGCTCCCCCTCACCGCATGAAAGCTCCTCTTCACCGCATGAAGGCTCCCCTTCACCGCATGAAGGCTCCCCTTCACTGTATGAAGGCTCCCTTTCACCGCATGAAGGCTCCCCTTCACTGTATGAAGGCTCCCCTTCACTGTATGAAGGCTCCCCTTCACTGTATGAAGGCTCCCCTTCACTGTATGAAGGCTCCCCTTCACTGCATGAAGGCTCCCCTTCACCGCATGAAGGCTCCCCTTCACCGCATGAAGGCTCCCCTTCACCGCATGAAGGCTCCCCTTCACCGCATGAAGGCTCCCCTTCACCGCATGAATGATACCCTCACCGCATGAAGGCTCCCCTTCACCGCCTGAAGAATCACCTACACCGCATGAAGGCTCCCCTTCACCGCATAAAGGCTCCCCTTCACCGCATGAAGGCTCTACTTCACCACACGAAGGCTCCCCTTCACCACACGAAGGCTCCCCTTCATCGCAGAAGATTTGAAACAATCCTGTCATTAAATCGCGCGCTCCGCCCGCCTGGGGCTCGCCGGAAAAAACTCCCCTCCACCTCGTAATTGGAGGGCCACCGCCCCCTCCTTTGTAACTGTAGGGCATCACGTGTGTTCATGAATCACATGTTTAAACACCTTATGACCTTATGATGAGTTCGGGACTTCCTAGTCCCCAGTCATGCTGATGCGCCGCCTTCGTCGTCCTCCGTCTTCGAGTCGTCACTAGGCAGGTCACCCCGCCCTCGGTCCCGGATGTAACATTGGACGTGTTCCGTCTATTTGCCCTCTTTTGGGCCAGCTGATGCAAGATGATGTTGCTCGTCACTTGCTGAGGGTAGTTGCCCTTGACAATCCGGGATCTTTCTCAACCTATTGTCCAGTCGTCTCAACCACACATCGCGTGTATTCACACAGTGCATGTGTCCACGTATCGCATCTGTACACACAGCGCGTGTATCACGTATTAAAACCGTTATACTAACAAGTTTGTGGCGGCGCGTGCAATTGCCACAAACAAGGCCACGTGCTGGGGTCACGTGGCGCGTGGTGCGCGAGACACCAACACACGTGACGCAGATAAGACGACGCGTGACTCTCTACATCCCGGCATACAGGGTGGAACATCTTAAACATGAACATCGCACATGGTAAAAGAGGGAACATTACGATGAGAACATTCCTAGGTAACTGTGAGAACATTCCGAGGTAACAGAGGGAACATCACTAGGTAACAGTTGGAACATTCCGGGGTAACAGAGGGAACATTCCTAGGTAACAGTTGGACCATTCCATGGTAAGAGGGAGAACATTCCGAGGTAACCGAGGCAACATTCCTAGGTAACAGATGGAACATTCCGATGTAACAAGGAGAACATCCCTAAGTAAGAGGAAGAACATTCGAAGTTAACAGGAAAGCCACTACCATCCATCAATGAGAACAATGCCCTAAAAGTACATAGTGTCTCTAACAAGGTATTTGAAAATAACATTGCGAAAAGAGAAACTATAAAGTTTCGAATATGCTAACTACCAAGTAAAATAATAGAGAAATTTCCTAAAATAAGAATGTCGCGACCTATAATATACTCTTCTACCCGCTATATTAACTGCCCTACTAACTGCCCCACTAACTGCTCCACTAACTGCCCCACTAACTGCTCCACTAACTGAGTCACGTAAATCCGTGACATGTACACGACGATTCACAAGCAAACTGCACGCGCGGTATGCAAATGCCGCGGCAGGCACCGCATCCGCCCCGAACAAGTGTCGAAATCGGGCCGAGGGCTCGTATCAATCATTGTTCTGCGAGGGGAAACTGCGTTACACTGCGGCCCTCACACAGACTGCGACCCTCACACAGACTGCGACCCTCACACAGCATGAACACAGTTTGCATCTCCTAATATCGTCCAAAAACTGTGCCAAATCGGGACGAATTTCATTCACCCACCGCGGTGCGACGTTTGGCTGATTTGTTCTCATCAAGAAAATTGGACCAGAACTGATCTGAGCGTTGGTATAGCATGGAAACTACTCTGGTATCGTGGATACCAACGGTGTTTGTAACGTGGATACGGTGCTGGTATTGTGGATACGGTGTTGTTACCGTGGATACTAACGGTGTTGATATCGTGGATACTAACGGTGTTGATATCGTGGATACTAACGGTGTTGGTATCATGGATAGTAACGGTGTTGGTAACGTGGATGCAGTGTTTATACCGTGGATACGGTGATCGTATAGTGGAGACGGTCTTGGTGCGCTTAAAACAGAGTGGATTTTTATTACGTTTCTTTACTCAGTTACTCAAACATAAACCAACACAAAATTTTTGTATATTGATAAAATTTTCGTCAAAATTTACGCAGCTTCAGCAAAATAATTCTGTATGAAATCATGAATGCATCTAATATTGAGCTTGAATTTCCCAGATCCGTTGATCGCGCGAAACATAACATAAAACTTGCTTCGGTGCCAGGGCATCGCAGCATTTAATAAATTCGTGTAAACCAATAATAGAAGTAACCAATGGATATTTTATTGACCTACGCAAACCGGTCTTATTAAAAGAGACTGAATTTGTGTGTTTGCGCTGCACGCAAAACTCCAGTAAATTGGATCTGGTGCAGCATGAACTGGCGCCTGACAACGGAAAACCTGAATATTTTACCGGCATTTAATAGCGAAGCGAATCGAGTTCCTACGGCAGACGCGATGCAATTGGAAACAATTAAATGTGATGTAAAATACAACGAAGCATAGCGGAAACTGAAAAGAAATATAACGTAAAATAAAATGAAACATGATTTAAAATTAGAAGTAAATATGAAATGTAGTAAAATATAATGAAACATGACATCAAATAAAAAGGAAATATGACGTTAAGTAAGACTAAACAAGACGGAACGTGATGCTGTACATGACGTAAATTAAAAGTAAATAAGACCTTAAATATAATTGAACAAGACGTAATATTAAATGATGCAAGGCATAAAATAAAACGAGTGTTTCAGTGGTTTTGTGGTTTCGCGGCTGCGGTTACGTGACTTAGGACAATAATTAAAGTTTTTAGATAATTAAAACTATGAAATTTATCAACAAATTATTAATGAAGCGTTTAATTTAAAGAGCCATTCAACTCTGGTTTGAAAATTTATACTTGACTACACACGTTTGATTGCCAGTAAAAGGTTTTATTCTTTACGAGAGACAAACTCCCGCTATAAGAAGTTACACTTCCGCTGGACGCATTCATACTCTCGCTACACGCAGTCACACTCTCGCTACACGGAGCCACACTCCCGCTACACGCAGTCACACTCCCGCTACACGCAGTCACACTCCCGCTACACGCAGTCACACTCCCGCTACACGCAGTCACACTCTCGCTACACGGAGCCACACTCCCGCTAACACACTCCCGCTACACGCAGCCGCACTCCCGCTACACGCAGCCACACTCCCGCTACTCGCAGCCACACTCCCGCTACACGCAGCCACACTCCCGCTACACGCAGTCACACTCTCGCTACACGCAGTCACACTCCCGCTACACGCAGCCACACTCCTGCTACACGCAGTCACGTGTATGTCTGCATAATTACATGGAAAAGATAGCATCCGCAAAAATGGGATCGTTTAGGGTGACGTTGGGGGTAAACAAATGCGCTGCGTGATGCATGTCCATGAGAAACAAATTACCCTGACTGATATACTACCACTTTATGACTGATACCCTGACTGATAAACTACCACTTTATGACTGATACCCTGACTGATAAACTACCACTTTATGACTGATACCCTGACTGATAAACTACCACTTTTCTCTTTACTATAACAGTTTCTTGTTGCAGAAATTTTCCCGCGATGATGTGGACAAAAAATCTAAAGAATCGCGACAAAAATCGAGTGATATTCTTTGATATATTCTTTGCAATGATGGCTCTTGCGTTGCCAAAATCTATCTGAAAGCTAGCAGACTTTTCTAGTTATTTTCAATAATTGAAGTTCATAATTAATAAATTATACAAATAAAATGATAGTATTATAAAATATTGATAGAACTTTCAATAGATAATATTAACAATATAGAAATCTAATAACCAAGTTAATATTATAAATTGTATATTAGTTTTATATTATACATGATTTTATTATATTTTTTAGATTATATCATTTAGCGATACAAATAATATATCTCTTTACTATTAAATATGTAATATTTGAAAACTTAAATCCTTAAAAAATATTATTAATACTTAAATTTTAATTAAATATAGTAAAAACCCGTGTTCATTCCCAAAACTGTGAACAAAATCTCAGTGTCGAAGGTAATATATTGCTTCATAACGCTCAACAATCTAAAAAACTTAAGAATTCTACATTTTAATGGACACTGAGAAATATTTTTATTTAAATGGACCCTGAAAATATAAATATATATAAATGAACCGCAAAAAATATATTTTAAATGATTATCTCTCACCTGTCCAGGCATGCCACCGAGCGACCGCGACGGTAAGAAGAAGCACACGCGTCCCACGTTCAGCGGCCAGCAGATCTTTGCCCTCGAGAAAACCTTTGAGCAAACCAAGTACCTGGCGGGACCTGAGAGGGCAAAACTGGCGTATGCCCTCGGCATGACCGAGTCACAAGTCAAGGTGAGGGTAGTGATGTGGTGATGATGTGATGTGGTGATGAGGTGAGGGCAGATCTTTGCCCTCGAGAAAACCTTTGAGCAAACCAAGTACCTGGCGGGACCTGAGAGGGCAGGTGATGTGGTGAGGGTAGTGATGGGGTGATGAGGTGAGGGTAGTGATGTGGTGATGGGGTGAGGGTAGTGATGGGGTGATGTGGTGAGGGTAGAGATGTGGTGATGTGGTGAGGGTAGTGATGTGGCGATGATGTGAGGGTAGTGATGTGGTGATGTGATGAGGGTAGTGATGTGGTGATGTGATGAGGGTAGAGATGTGGTGATGTGGTGAGGGTAGTGATGTGGTGATGATGTGAGGGTAGTAATGTGGTGATGATGTGAGGGTAGTGATGTGGTGATGTGGTGAGGGTAGTGATGTGGTGATGTGATGAGGGTAGTGATGGGGTGATGAGGTGAGAGTAGTGATGTAGTGAGGGTAGTGATGTGGTAATGTGGTGAGGGTAGAGATGTGGTGATGTGGTGAGGGTAGTGATGTGGTGATGATGTGAGGGTAGTGATGTGGTGATGTGGTGAGGGTAGTGATGTGGTGATGTGATGAGGGTAGTGATGGGGTGATGAGGTGAGGGTAGTGATGGGGTGATGAGGTGAGGGTAGTGATGGGGGTGATGTGGTGAGGGTAGTGATGGGGTGATGATGTGAGGGTAGTGATGTGGTGATGTGGTGAGGGTAGTGATGTGGTGATGATGTGAGGGTAGTGATGGGGTGATGAGGTGAGGGTAGTGATGGGGTGATGAGGTGAGGGTAGTGATGTGGGGTTTAGGAGAGGTTAGTAGTGTTATATAAAGTGAGGGTAGAGCAGCGCAATAATACCTCTAGCCCAGTTCAACAACAACCCTCAGCCCTCACTATATACAGTCTCACCCCTCGCCCATTATTTGGACTCACCACATCATCCCATTTACGTAGGCCCCCTTACCCCTTTCCCCTTTTCCATGTGGGGCACTCACCCCGGCAATAGACTCCCCCCCGCCACTCTCTACGCTCACTCCTCTCCCCTCGGAGTGGGGCGTGCAGCTTAACTTTAGCCCTCAATTATGTCGGCCGGAGAGACGATCTGCATATTTATGGGCGCAAATCCCTCGCCCTGCCCCACGCCCTCACCTCCAGCCTCCCCAAACTCCCCTTTCCCCATCTCTAACTCTGCGCATCTCTCTCAATTCCCCTCCCTCCTTCTTCTTCCCTACCCCCCCTTCAAAAAAAGTCAAAATTATCCTGCAAGACAAACGAGGTCTGCGATGATCAACAATTATGTTGATCAAACGCGCGTTCCCCAGACCAGGCCGTCCTGAACGATGGCGTCGAGGTCTTAAATACCGACTCCTGCTCATTGCTAAGCTCCTGCAGAAATTGCGGTTTTGTTGCCTGAAAATCAATTGGTGCCTCTGCTGCTAGCGGAGATAGACGATTTAATGGTGAAGTAGATACGCTACAACTTCAGGAATTGCAGCAGAAAAAATGCACTTATAGGCAGAGCAGACTGGTACAACGTGCTGTAATTTGCGCAAAAATGGTTCATTTATAACCTGTGCAGAAATGGTTCATCTATAACCAGTGCAGAAATGGTTCATGTATAACCCTGTCTCTTATACACATCTAGATGTGTATAAGAGACAGAGCAACAACAGCAGCAGCAGCAGCCCTGACACAAGTGTGTTGCTGTCTCTTATACACATCTAGATGTGTATAAGAGACAGGCCCTGACACACAAGTGCGTTGTAAGTACAGCAACAACAGCAGCAGCCCTGACACAAGTGCGTTGTAAGTACAGCAACAACAGCAGCAGCAGCCCTGACACTGTCTCTTATACACATCTAGATGTGTATAAGAGACAGGTTGTTGCTGTACTTACAACGCACTTGTGTCAGGGCTGCTGCTGTTGTTTCTGTACTTACAACGCACTTGTGTCAGGGCTGCTGCTGTTGTTGCTGTACTTACAACTCACTTGTGTCAGGGCTGCTGCTGCTGCTGTTGTTGCTGTANATAACCAGCTCAGAAATGGTTCAGCTATAACCAGCTCAGAAATGTTTCAGCTATAACCAGCTCAGAAATGGTTCAGCGATAACCAGTGAAGAAATGGTTCAACTGAAATTCAGAAAAAAAACATCATGTTGTATCGCAGCGGCGGGCGGCACGTTATTGATAAAGCAGAATTGCGGCGACGCAGCCTGTGCGGCACCACAGAGGGTAGGCCTACACAATAGGCCTGGTTTGTGTGTTGCCAAGCCGTGTCACTCAGTCACGCCCCCTGAATTACTCACAAAAATGATAGGCTCCACACAGGGTGTCTGTATGAGCCAGATTAATTTCTGTATAGCAATAAGCGCCGTACAGGCGGCAAAAAGAATGGCATATGTTGCCGTATATTGGAAGAGCATGAGTATGAAACAGTGTATGTTGATCAAAATGGAAATAATTTGTATGTGTTGGAAGAGTATCAACTTAATTACCTGAAAACAATCTACACTTGAATCTCTATTAAACGCATATATCTTCATTTTATCTTGAAATAAAAAACGCAAAAGGAGAACTTTTAGTTAACGAACAACTGCTTTACCGAGATCTACCCATCTACTATTTGCATAACTATTGTTTACTGAATTGCAAACTCAGATTTATTTATTAATGATGGTTAATTAATTAAATATTAAGTTAAGTTAAAAAAGCTCTCTCTCGCCCAAGTTCAGCATCTTTCCTAGCAGCAGAACCAGCGTCATAAACTGCAGCCGCGATTTTTAATATGTATTTGTGGCATGAAAAATGTAATGGCATTTGCCACGCCATCAGGCTGCCATGCTAATGCCTATGCCACATCTGTGATAGAAAAGCTGTCTAGGGGAGGCGCCACATGGCGGCCGCCACAGCCAAATGATTCCTCTTATAATCGGCGCAGGAATGAGCTGCGGCTGGGGCTGGCTGGGGCGTTGGGGAGGAATTGGGGGATTTGTGAGGATTAATATATGGTATTAATATATACGGTATTATTATATAATAACGGTATAATTATATTTTACGGTATTAATGAATAATTAATACCGTAAGGTATTATATGTGATATGGTGATGCCGCGAGGAATACCATTGATACCGTGCATGAGTGTCGGGTGCCATCACACACTACCATAACACTCAAGCATCACCATACCATTCAAACACCATCATACCACTCAAACACCACCATTCCTCACAAGCAACACCATGCCACTCAAACATCACCATACCACCATGCCACCACACCACACTCCCTCTCACCTGCCTCCCTCTCACCTGCCTACCTCTCACCTGCCTCCCTCTCACCTGCCTCCCTCTCACCTGCCTCCCTCTCACCTGCCTCCCTCTCACCTGCCTCCCTCTCATCTGCCTCCCTCTCACCTGCCTCACCCTCAGCTACTATATTTCCTAGTTTATATCCTGCCAGACTATTTCAGTCGCTGTATTTCTATAAGAAAACGCCCGCATGTATGAGGTCAGGGCCTCAAACTGCCCATTCTTAAATTTGATTATCTTTTAGATCAGACAACAGAAATCGTCTTCCTAATAACATTAATATTTCTCTGCATTACTCCGGCAACAACTTAGTCTTCATCAGAAACGTTTGGGGCTGAGGGGAGGGGGAAGGGTTGCAATCTAAAGCCGAGCAAAATCATATCTAAAAAATCGAGGCTAAAATAAAACTCGCGCGTCTCGTGGACGCCGGTGCGCCTCGCTCGCCGAGGGCTGAGCGTTTGCCGCCCTTTTATTCATCCGCCATCAGCTCCCCTCCGTCCAATTAGGCGACGGCCGTCCCAGCGCAGCCAAATGGCGATAACGGCCACGACTGTAACCGTCCTACTGCAGACATCATCACTGTATTACTATCTCACTGCACGGTACCAACACTGTAACTGTCCCGCTGCACGGCATCATCACATTAACCGTCCCACTAAATAGTAGAAGACAGTGCATCAAATTCAGTGCGCAAAGACCATGCTGTTTCACTGCACGGTACCATCATCGTAACCGTCTCACTGCATATTTCCACCACTGTACCCGTCCCGCACAGGATCCCAAAATGTACCAACTCCCTCGCTGTTGCTCTGTAATTGCGCGTATCCAACAAAGCCCAAATAAACGACGCTTACAATAGAACTTTTACTCCCAAACGCTGCCCATCTTTCCAGAAATAACAACAGTCGGCATCAGTTCAGTTTAAACGAAGTCGAGTAACTTCTACTTGATATACTACTCGCGCCGTTTGCCATACCCTACCCTCCATCTTAGCGACCAAGGGAGTGAGTCTACTTGGCTAGCCTTCCAAAGCACGCCCTTCATCAGCCTAGCCAAACAGAGGGATAATCCTGAGGGAGTCTCTTCGCTGCTGCTGGCACCGCTGCTCCGGCATCTGTTGCCGTTATGTACCCACACCGATGCTAGACTGCGTATTGACTTCTGCTGCAGTACCTATTGATTGAGGGTATTAGTATTGGTGATCCTGACTAGTAACAACGACAGCAGCTGCGTTCTTGTGCAATGTTTGGTTCAGTTAACTTCATTAGAAGAGCCATCCTTAATTGAAGGACACACATGCAGGAACTCTGAATATCCCAGCTGGCTGTCGCCAATAATTAACAGTTCCGAGCCAACAAACCTCGAGTGTTCGTGTGTGTGCTTCAGGCACAAGACTTCCGTGCATGAGATAATTTGGTTTCACCTAAAATTCGACTTCACGCACCGGCTACACAATGCTTTAATAACGTCAGATTTTAATTGCTGCGGAATCGCTTCCAACAATATGTGACTTCTATTTAAATTATCCGAAGTTTTTGCGTATCAAACCTCCCTTCATATATTGTTTGCCCCCTTTCAAAAATCGAAACATTCGTCCTAATTGTAATATCAAAAATAGGTTGGACTGTCTGAAGGTATTCGAGCATGAATGAATTTATATGGCAAACGCTTGATCTTAGACATG